GGGGATTTTACGGAGAAAATCTCGGTGAGACTTTGTTTGAATCAAATTAACTTTGATAAATTTTCAGTTTTTATTAGTGGGGTTTTTGGAAGATTTTTAATCGATTTTCTTGTTATGTTATAACAGGACAAGATCTGAGATCTCTGGTGTTCCATGCAAACCCGTTATACTCCGCCGTAATTTCGAATCTGGGTCACCTCAAAAACCCTAGAATTCGATCTGGGTTTCTTAAAAACTCTTCCTTTTTTGTTGTTTAGTTTTCTGGGGAAAAATTCAATCAGAGAGATGAATATCAGTGGTGTAGTTTGGAACGAAGATGATAAAGCGATTGTTGCTTCATTACTTGGGAAACGAGCTCTCGATTACTTGCTTTCGAATTCTGTACCAAATGCTAATCTCTTGATGACTGTCGGAAGCGACGATAATCTACAGAACAAGCTCTCGGATCTCGTCGAGAGACCCAACGCTTCGAATTTCTCTTGGAACTACGCCATTTTCTGGCAGATTTCGAGGTCAAAGTCTGGAGATTTGGTTCTGTGTTGGGGTGATGGATCTTGTAGAGAGCCTAAAGAAGGAGAGAAATCAGAGATCGTTAGGATTCTAAGTATGGGAAGAGAGGAAGAGACGCATCAGACTATGAGAAAGAGTGTGTTGCAAAAGCTTCATGCGTTGTTTGGTGGTTTAGAGGAAGATAACTGTGCTTTAGGACTAGATAGAGTTACAGACACTGAGATGTTTCTTCTTGCTTCTATGTATTTCTCGTTTCCTAGAGGCGAAGGTGGTCCAGGGAAGTGTTTCGATTCGGGGAAACCGGTTTGGTTATCCGATTTGGTGAATTCGGGTTCTGATTATTGCGTTAGATCGTTTCTTGCGAAATCTGCTGGAATTCAGACCGTTGTTTTGGTTCCTACTGATATTGGTGTTGTTGAGTTCGGCTCTACTAGATGTTTGCCTGAAAGCGAGGAGTCGATGCGGTCTATTAGATCGTTGTTTTCGAGTCCCGTTAGAGTTTTGGCGACGACGACGGCTCCTTTACCCGTTGTTGTTGTAGCTGAAAACAATGATGATAACAGAACGGTTAATGCTTCGAAGATATTTGGGAAAGAACTGCATAGTTCGAGTTTTCTTCATCATCATCATCAAACGCAGTATCAACAGCCACCACAACAGCAGCAGCAACATAGACAGTTCAGGGAGAAACTTACGGTTAGAAAAATGGATGATAGAGCGCCGAAGAGAGTAGATGTTTATCCGAGTAATGGGAACAGATATATGTTTCCGAACCCGAGCACCAACAACAACAACACTCTTCTGAGTCCTACATGGGTCCAACCCGAGACCTACACGAGGACGACTAACAATGTGAAGGAAGTTCCGAGCACGGAAGATTTCAAGTTTCTACCGTTGCAGCAGTCATCATCGCAGAGGCTGCTTCCTCCGGCTCAAATGCAGATTGATTTCTCTGGTGCGAGTTCGAGGGCATCCGAGAATAATTCAGATGGAGAAGGAGCAGAATGGGCAGACGTGGTGGGTGGTGAAGAATCTGGTAACAACAGACCAAGAAAACGCGGAAGGAGACCGGCGAATGGAAGAGCGGAAGCTTTGAACCATGTTGAAGCAGAGAGACAACGGCGTGAGAAGCTTAACCAGAGGTTTTATGCACTGAGATCCGTTGTTCCCAACATTTCCAAAATGGACAAAGCGTCCTTGTTGGGAGACGCGGTTTCTTACATTAACGAGCTACACGCCAAGCTCAAGGTCATGGAAGCAGAGAGAGAGAGGTTAGGATATAGCGCAAATCCACCGATCAGCTTAGAACCAGATATAAACGTTCAAACCTCAGGTGAAGATGTTACAGTGAGAGTAAACTGTCCGTTGGATTCTCATCCAGCTTCTAGAATCTTCCACGCGTTTGAAGAGGCTAAAGTAGAAGTGATTAACTCGAACCTGGAAGTTTCGCAGGACACGGTGTTGCATACGTTTGTGATAAAATCTGAAGAGTTAACTAAAGAAAAGTTGATCTCTGCGTTCTCTAGAGAGCAATCCAGTTCTGTTCAGTCAAGAACATCATCAGGTAGATAGCCTTAAGAGAGACAGAAGAAGGTGGGGAAGTAAGTTTGTAATGAAGAACCGGTTTTGAATGGTTCCTT